CAGTCTGCAAAAAATAAGCCGCCAGATCCAATTCGAAAATTAAGGAACAACGCAATCATCAACATTAACTGAAATAGATAATTAGATAATTTTAGCTTATACGTCCATTATACATAAAACGCGCACGCGAAAACGTATTCTGCACTTGCGCACACTCATATGCGCAGTCGTAAAAGGTCTTACGCGCACGCGTAAACGCCTATGCGCATGTGTCAACGCGGCGCATGCGCAGAAAGTTTTTAGTTTTGAGGTCCGGATTATAGATCATTCCGAATTATGGGTGTCCGAATTAACGACTTTTGACTGTGGCTTTAAAATGTTTCGAAATGATTACCAGTTATGTAAATTGTCACTGTATGATACAGGTAAGGATATTTTTGACAGTTTTATATTAAAAGATAGATCTGAAATGATAACGAAATTTTTTTAATTAGACAGTTTTCTTCTTAACTCAAATTTCATACTATCAATTACTTGAATAAATTCTTCATGTTCACTAGCATAATTACCCATTTCTTTTTCATCACAAACGTTAAAAATTATTTTCAAAATAGCTTTGAAATTTTACTCCAAACTTTAACTTGCGAGCACGCGCTCTGGGTCCAGTGGACCTACGCGATTAAAGAAACTTCTGCAAAACAAACCTATTTCATGCAAGTTGTTGAGGTCTAGTGTAGTTCTGTCTTAGGTCTGCCTCTTTATGTTTCCGAAGTTTTTTCGCTAGGGATTTAATTCGGAGTATTGATTTTGATCGCATCGGGTCTTTTAGAGACTGCACGCCTATTCGTGTTCCTATTACATAGTTGATTTGTGATGCATAGAAAGTAGCAAACATGTTGCGTAATTTATCTTACAATGAAGAAATTTTACAAAAGTTATTAGATGTAACACTGGCGAAGTGGCGAAGAACGCAATGAAGAAAATGATGATGAAGTGATTATGTATTTTTAGTTCACATCATATTGATTCACTGGTATAGATTCTGAAAACGAGAGTGATGACATAAGTTGTTTTATTGGAAAAATATTATCAGAAACAAAACAAAAAAAAAAAAAAAAAGAAGAAAAAATGCAGTGTTTGCCCAGTGAAAAGCACAAACAAATGAAAATGCACTTCACCTAGTGTGAAAAATATTTGTATTTGGAAAACACTTTCTTCAATGTGTTGCTAACATTTGTTCTCTGTGTCTATAGTGCTAATATAAAAAATAAGAATCAACACAGAGCAAAGGTATACTATTTTTTCCCCTATGCTAATATATAATAAGATTTCCTACTCCTTTAAAAAATTTTATTTTTAGAAATTAAACATTTTAACATGCATAGTTTTTAAATTTGATCATAAAATTTATTATTCGTAAAGATGTAACACTTTTTCTGAAGAACTAAAATATCCTCTATAACTCACATGAGCACGTGCGCTCTCAGGTTAAGCTTGTCTTCAGTTAAATGAAAATCAGTGACTTCAAAGCAACTAGGATCCACTACTTTCTATTTTAGCTTAATCAATTCGGTTTTTAGAATAGTCTTTTTCACCAAAAAATGCTTTTAAACTCACCATAAATTTGCAAAACGAAACATTCACCCAAATCTATCGCCATCGAAAATGAAGAACGCTCTGGACTAAAGTTCTTTTTGCAGCTCAACGGCCGAAACGTTTTGTCACGAAAAGTAATAACAACATATAAGTCGATTGTAACCATGGTTTATTAATCTTATACTATCTCAAACTCACAATTACAAAATACTAGGCGTTTTGCAGTCTTTCTAACGCCATCAATGGAGACTTTCACTCAGGTTACAAGTCACGTAGCCACATTGCAGAGGCACAGGCGCAAACACTTCCAAATGTCAGCACAGAAAAAATGTTTATTAAATGATGAAGTGAACTGAATTTTGTAAAAATGCAAGCATTTCAAAAGAGATAAATACATTGGTATCTCTGCTAGAAGCCATGCATATTATAGTAAATGCCAGTGCTGATCCTAGACTGTTGGTTGCCCATGTGCAAATTAAAATTGGCCGCCTTTTTCACAAAGCTTCTTCTTTAAACTTTTTAATTGGTAATAATTTCGCCGGCCGTTAATCTTGCCCCCCCCTCCCCATTAGGATCGGCCTTGCAGGGGAGTTAACGCCTTGGTCATTTGCAAAAATGTAACTTTTACATAGAAGCATTTGAGGAACTGCAAATTATAGCTGTTTCAGACAGAGTTTGAAAATTTCTGTCAAATGATTACAATACTGAGACAAAGTTTATAAAATCTGACAAAGAAAGTTAAACATGGCTGCAGAACCTAGCAGTGAAAAGTGATACAAAATAAAGTGACATGTCATCCATCATCCAATTGAATCTAGAAAAGCACTGCCGATTCTAAGAAAAATTCTTGCAGTGAGAGATGCCAATCAAAAAACTAACAGCAGTTTTACGAAATTGACATTACAACTGAAAAGTGCTTTCAAATAATATTAAAATAGGGAACAGATAAAATTTCATCTAAAATGTAACTGCAATTGTTGCTTTGCGCATAAAGAAGAGGCAATATAAATAGAATTTCTCTTAGGAAATATTTGATAAAATTAACTCTCCTTTTAAATTAACTGAAGTCATGTCTTGCATCTTTTGTCATAATTGATTAATTAAACATACCAGCAATACAAAGTGTTAGAAAAGTGATAAATGTTTTATTTCCATAATTATTGATCCTATATTTTTTATAAAAAAATCAGAAGAAAATTGACGACAAATTTACATAGATCAGCTTGAAATGCCCATTTCTCCATACTCCACTTTTCCATGAAATTATTAATAACATATAACTTCTGAATTTTGCATACAAATGCATGGAATCTTTTGCATTTAACTGAGAGAGACTGGATGTACCTGCATTTTATATTCATGAAACCTTTCTATTCGCAGTACTAATTTTATAAAACTGCTTTACTTTTAAAACTTTAAAATGGAAACACATATTCTAGATCCACATGTAAAATCTGTATAGCATTCTATTAGCAAACAATGTCGATTTCTTTTAATAAAAAAATTACATAACGCAGAAAAGGTTTACATGTAAAAATTGGCAGATAAGTGTTGTACTACATTTGAATTGAAATAGTCATACAATTCTAATATGGCACAACATTTTAAAACACAGAATGTAATTTTGCTCATAAGATGCATTAATGGGTCATGTTCAGATTTAAACCAAATCTCAGATCTTAGAAAAGTTCAGATTTGCCAGGAAGTATAATTAGGAGGTACACATGAAAATTTGTTTTCCAAATAATATATAGAAATATATTAGTTATAAAGATATTGATGTTTGAGCTAAATAAAGCTGCAGATATAGAACTGGATGTTTCTTATAAAATTAATGACATATGTAAAGCTCGGTTGCAGCTTAAATCGGAGTAATATAGCTGAAATGACAAATAATTTACATAATTACCTTCAAATTTATAATATATTAGACTTTTAACCTCTTACAAAATTATGCTTACAATAAATACAGATAATTATGATGTGGATCAATTTTTTTCAAAACTGACTTAATTTCAAATAAATTATTCTGTAATTAGGACAGTTATTGTTAATAGTACATTCATTCGTTTATACAAAACAAAAAAAAAAAAAAAAAAAAAAAAAAAAATCACAATAAAAAGCCATGCTTCATATTGTTACAAAATGTCCAGGCACGGTAAAGTAGCTCCCCTGCAAAGCAGTTTTAGGGTTGCCACATTTGGCGAGAAATTAACCATTTGGCAACAAAATTGGCAATATGCCATAGACGGATGGAGAACCTTCTGGAATGAATTCTTACCGGTTTAGACCAGAATGTTCTCGAACACAAGGCAAAAGCTATATAAACCCTGCTGGTAGAGTTAGTGTCTAGGCAGTTAGATAGTCCGTGGAGAGTCAAACAAGTTGATAGTCAATCAGTCAGTGCCGAGTTGGTCGTCGAATGCACTGAAAGTCTGTTGGTATATAGCGGTTAGTGCATCGTCGAGAGAGTGTTGAGCTCCGGGAACGACTGAACAAAGGAGTCGGGAGCTGTACTCCAGTGTATCGTCGAGTGCATCGCAAGTTGTAGCGTGTAGAGTCTCGAGAGTACATGGAGTTCCAAGAACGACCGAGCAGAGTCGGGAACTGTACTCAGGTGCTTTGCAGTAAAGCTGTCTCCACCATTATAGCCTGACAGTGTGAAGGCTGTGTCGCTGATCGTGTCAGCATGTTTACTGTAGTTCTTCAATGACTGTGCAAACGTGTTATTGGAGCTGTCTTGAAAATACTGGCCAGTAAAGTGTATTTTGATACTTCATTGTCGTTATTCACTCCTAATCCTCACAAACCATGTAATAAAAGTGACAAAAGAAGAAAATAATGCAAGAATATTAAACAAGCCATATTATGATTAACTGTATAAGCTTTTCTTCAGGGCTACACAATTTAAAATCTTGATTGGTACAACGGTTAATAAACATTAATTATTATGCCAATGGGCTTAAGATTCAAATCCTAAACAAGACATGGACGCCTGTGATAAAACAGTCTTCTGAAATGCAACTATTTACACTGAAAAGGCTGATGGTAGCTGAGAATGGATATCAACTTACTACTCAGTTTAACCCTCTGAGCGGCATGGGTTTTTGGATTTGTCATGAAGACCTGTATTTATGCAGCATTTATTAGCTAAATTTATATAATTACTTATTTTAGCCTCTATTTTTGTAAACTTAGATTCATTAAGATTACATTTACATTATTAAAGAAAGTGAGAAAGCAAAATATCTTAAGTTATAAGCTAATACGTATCAAGCGACAAAAAATTCCATGACCAGATATAGCCAGTCATGCCACTCAGAGGGTTAATTTTTGTAAGTCATCAGTGTTAACAGCAGTTTCTGTAAAATGCAGCATTTGCATATCACAAGTATTGTTCTACTGGCTAAAAGATTTTTGAACCAAATAAAATACATGAAGAAAAAATAACACATACACACATATATACTTATATATATATGAACAAACATTTTATTTCAAGAGAAAACTAGAGCAGAAACAATGACTAGTATAATAATAAATCTAAAACTATTTACATTTCAAAATACAAGAGCTTTTTGGTTTATCAGAAAACATTTCTATTTGGCTTCAAAATATTGCATACATAATATTTATACATAAATAAATAGCTAAGACACATTTGATGGATTCCTGTCAGTTGCAGATACAGCAGAATCAAATTGTCCTTGTTGAGCCAGTTGCTGAAGGGCTGCTAACTGTGCAGGATCTGTCACTAGGACAATCTGTTGCATGGTAGTTGACAAAGTACCATCTTCTTGAAGTTGAACAGCATACACAGGGTGCTAAAAATCAATAAATTAGCATGAAGTTAAAAACATAGTGCAATGTGATTTGATGCTTATCTGAATAAAAGTTTTGGTAAACATAAAGCAAGTTAAAAAAAAAAAATTACATTTCACAAAAATTGGCATGAAAATATTCAAACTGTTATATTTTAAGTTCATATGCAAGAGGAATCAGCATATTTTCTTATCAGTGTGTAACATTAGCTCTCCTTCAGATGCAAAGGGGTGTCCTATGTATCTTATAAGTTTTTTGCATTCTTTTAGGAGATATACGTAAACTGGAAAATTGCTGAATAGTTTAGGGTAACTTAAATACCAAAAAGAAACTGAATGCTGTGATAGCAACTTATAAATACTTACAGCTATACAATAAATTAGTGTACATGTGCAGTTATGTATAAATAAAATATTTCTAAAAATAAAATCCTATTTATTTACAATTTTGCTTTTTAACAGCATATTCCAGCAGTTAAATGGAACCTGACTATTTGAAAACTTGAATGAAAACTTTTTTTTCTATTCACGTTGAAATTAAAATATCTAACCAATTATATTATTTGCATGTGATTATACATTAAATAACTGTATTTACAGTTAAAATTTTGTTTTTGCTTTATTTCTCTATTTACTGACTTCAAAAATTTCTTCTCTACAGAACTCAAAACATTCAAATTTGAATAATTTTTACCCTTGTTTTATATTATAACACATTTATCATCCTTATTTTAAATAACAAATTTTATTCACGGAATTTTCTATTCTTACATTACATTTTACTTTTTAGCATTTTTCCTATTTTTATATATTTACAACATTTGTTTTTATGAAAACTACTTAAATTATGCAATGATGCCCAGCTATTATTAATAGGAATCTTCTTTCCAACAAACAATCAGTTATTAACATAAGAACTCCTCTCTATGCTAATATGTGACTTACATTTAATAGCAAAAAATTAAATTTTATATTATGCCTCACCAAAGGTATGGCTGATATATACATAGCAAGAGAGAGAGAAATGTTAATCGGCATTCACTACTTACTGAATGGTCTAATGAAAAAAGGCTTATACCCTTTGATGACATCAGTCTTGTTTCTTTAAATCAATATTATTTATTATTTTTCTATTCGTTTTTATTTAATTCAACTTGAACTTAATTTTCAATAAAAAAAAATTATTTTGCCTTAGTTAAATTTACAATAGCTTTTCTCACACATTTATTTACACAAATAATGAGGGTTCAATAATCTAAAATTTTTTAATTCGGTTGTCCATATAATCATTTTTACAGAACTATATATATACATAAATGAATAAATACAAAGTAAAAAAAAAAAAAAAAGAAAGAAAGAAAGAAAAGAGTTCAAAAACTAATCCATTTCACTCATAGCAGTAACAAGTGGTGGTAATAATGCAAAATAAACTAATACATTTAAAATCAATCTCGTATTTAATTCAGAAAAAAACAGAAGCACAATGGTAAACTGCATAAAAGGTAAAAAAAAATGATAAAACCAAAAATGAAAAAAGTAATTTAAATCTTTTGCTGCATTGTCATCATGTGGTTGGTGCATCAAAAGAAGTAAATACATCAGCCTGTTTCTGAAATAACAAAGACAACTATTAAAAAATAGAGTTTAATGCTTAAAATAATGTCGGGAAATTAACCCAAGTAATCTGCACTTTTATCAGTCCATTGCCTACAGGTTGGAGTAGGTAGTGCAAACACTGCAATTTTACATAAACGAATGAGTGTATGTTATGTCATCTACTACTTGTTTCAATATTAACTCCAGGGCCATACTATCATATGGCAGTCTGACCCTGACATACAACAAATTGTCAGGATTCAAAGAAACAGAGAAGAAATGAGAAAATTATAATATAAAAATAAGGTTAGATGTAAAAGAATCGTGGTTTTTCTTTATTCTTTGTTGTTTAACCTTTTGATACAGCTCGCATTCCAGTTACATACAGAAATGATGCAGTTCAAAGAAATTTATTATAAGCATTGGCATGAAAATAACAGTAGGAAAAGTTATTAATTGAATTTCATATTTAAATTAGGATTTTATTTTACATATTCTTTATCTTACATGTACACATGCATATCACGGGAAGACACGCTCCATTCTCATCGAGTTTATTTTGCTTCACCATGACTGCCTAAAATATGCTTTTGTACAGCATTTTTACATAAAAATTCAAATAATGATCCACAAATATGAAATTGCTCAAATTACATTTATATACATCCCACTTAAAGTTTACAAATTACCCTGGGCTCGAAGATTGCTAAGAATCTCCTGAATGTTGGGGATTATCTTCAAATAGTTGGAAAATCATGATGCCACTGTGCTTTTGTAGATAAATGAACATAGAAAAAAACAAATATGAGTTGTGCAATGTTGGGTAATGCAAAGAATGCTTTACTCTGTGCCATACAAAGTAAAAATCTATTTCATATAATAAAGTTTTCCAGAATAATAGGTGTGCTTATAGTCGCTACATGTGGGACATATGTATCCCTCCATTAACTATGGCTGGGACATATGGTGTCCCAACCTTTGGCTTGAAAACTGTTTGTCAAAAAAAAAAAAAAAAAAAAAAAAAAAAAAAAAAAACAGATGCTAAAGTTACCTTATTTATGACATTTTGTTCACTTGGTTAGAAAACAGAGAATTTTTTTTCTTTTTAAATTCAAAGGGTTAACCTATAATTATTACTAGATTATTTTATATTTATTAGATATATTTTTCTATGCATAAAGGATTTCTAAATTAATCTTACAATATTCAAATTAAAATGAACATAAAAGTCTGTAAATATTAATAACATAAAAATTACTGAAATTAAGTAGAAAAATTAAATTTAATCAACATATAAAAATTTTTTCACATACTATGCTATCAAATATTGCTATTTTCTGAAAATTTGTACATTTTTCACCCACTGAAAAGGTGTGATCTTGTTCAAAAATTTCATTTTGTATATGAAAACAACTACAATTCATTTTTAGATAGCAAAAGTTTCAAAGAATTCTGCACACAAGTTCAAGAAATTTGAGCTTGCAGAAGGATGCATATGGGCTAAATACGACCCCAAAAGTCTATTTAAAAATAATTACAGTACAAAGTCCGAAATCCGGACATCCATTATTCGGAATGATCTAAAATCCGGACCTCAAAACCACCAATGTTTTTCTCGTCGGCTTTACGCATACGCATTTGATCCCTCCCCCCCCCTCCGCACATAATAAAACATCTGGAGAGTCCTGATTCTTAATTTCAATTCAACACTAAATAAAATACAATGCTATGGAAGAAACAATCATTTTAGCATAAATTTGTATGATCAGTAATTTGGCTCTGTTGCTGCATATCTACTTGGCACACATCTCAAACCAAAACATTCCACATAGATACATGGTTGATCTGATGCCAACCTGGCAAATCATTATTTATTATACTTTCCTTTTTTTACCGCATGTTTATCAAAACATGAAAAATTGTTTAATGACTCATTAAGCGATGCATAAACATTTTTTTTAATGTTAGTAATTGAATAATAAAGGAGTGCGGTAACCTTTCATGTTGACAATATGGTTGGCAATGATTACAGATTTACGTTAAATACAGTAAAAATTGTTGATGAGGAAAAATTTACCAAAAATTTCTTTCCATATGCTAAAAATAAATTTTGTTGAAGATACCAAATTTTGTTGAAGACTCATAGATTTGTAGAAGATACGCATAGGTACTCATAGACCCTAAAGATTACATTTAGGACTACTTGAATTAAGAATAAATGATTTGTTATTCACATAAACCCAGAACCAGGGCTCGTATGGCCACATCGAGTCGCAGAATTTAATACCCACAGAGACTGCATCAGGCGATAAGATATCTAGCGCCGGCCCTCAGCCAGGTTTAAGTACGAGGCGTATTCGGAAACTAAGTACCGTTTTGAAAAAAAAAAAAAAAAAAGTTAAAACAATTTTTACGAATACAATTTTATTTTTACATGAAAATACATGTCTTAAACTATTTTTCAACATAGTTTCCGCCAATGATCAAACACTTGTCATAGCGGGTGACCAGTTTTTGTATACCATCGTCAAAGAAACTTCCCGCCAGTTTCGATAACCACGATTCCACGGCATTTTTCCTGTCAACGTCAGATCCAAAGCGCTTGCCACCAAGCTCGCGCTTCATGTGCAGGAACAAGTGATAGGCGGACGGCGCGAAGTTCGGACTGTACGACGGGTGATCAAACTGCTCCCAATGAAACTGTCCAATTAACGATTGAGTGACACCAGCAGTATGGGGCCAAGCATTGTCATGGAGCAACACAATTCCTTTATTGAACATTCCTCTTCGTTTGTTTTGAATGGCACACCTTAGTTTTGGTAAAGTCTCACAATATCGTGCCGCATTAATGGTTTCACCTCTGGGAAGAAATTCAGTAAGCAAAACGCCTTTCCTATCCCAGAAGACAGTGACATGATTTTTTGTAATGACATTGTCACTTTTAACTTTTGTTTTTTCGGAGATTGGGTGTGTCTCCACTCCATCGATTGTTGATCGATTCTGGTGTGAAATGACACACCCAAGTTTCATCACCTGTCACAATTTGGTTTAAAAAGTTTTCTCCCTCATCACTGTACCGCGTGAGAAATGTCAGGGCACTACCAAGTCGCTTTGTTTTGTGAACATCAGTGAGCATTTTGGAACCCATTGGGAACACAGTTTGTGATAATTCAAGCGGTCAGACACAATTTCGAACAAAACAGTACGTGAAATTTGTGGAAATGCCTCTGAAAGAGTTGTCATTGATGAAGCAATTCATGTTGTCTCATGAATTGCTTCATCAACTTTCCTTAGCAAATCATCGGTGACAACAGAAGGCCGACCACTCCGAGCCTTGGCGTGGACATTTGTTCGACCTGCATTAAACATTCTTACCCACTTTCTCACCATTCCATCACTTATCGCGTATTCACTGTAAACTTCTGTCACTTGATGATAAATTTCGGCTGGTTAAGATTTCTCGCGTTCATAAATTTAATCACTGCACGAATCTCACAGTCAGCAGGAGAATTAATTGTCTTAAACATTTTGAATGTGCACAGCAAACTGAAAACACAACATAGAGCAACCACAATGGTGACAATTGAAAGTCAGTGAACAAGAAAAACTAGTGCGCATGTGCGGGATGCCTACTACAGCGCTGCGACAGCGCTAGAATGAAACGGTACTTAAGTTTCCAAACACGCTACGTATATGGGGGGAATTTATTTATTCCTAACGCTAAGCCTTAAGCATGTGTAATAAATAGATATAAGTATAATAAATAACTAATACAATTCAAGCTTAATTGTCTCAGTATGCGATAGAAGCAAGATAAAATTTAACGGAACAACTTGTCGTTGGTCGCAAAGCTCATGATTCATAGCCAAATGTGTATAGTGAAGAATAGCTAAATTTGATGATATCCACTAATTTTAAAGGTTTTCGGATATCGCAAAACAAAGGTTAAATTTTCCAATTAACAAATTTTGTAAAGAAATGTGGAGAAGGGGTAACAAACGAAGATGATATAAAAGAAGCTTTTCATTGTGATGACAATGCTTCTCAATCATCAATCAATTCATGAATGGGAAAATCTGTAGTATGGTTCTAGATCCAGAAAACACCGCTACCGATAATGTCAGAGAAGTTACTGAAAACGAGAAAATTTCTATTGACAATTTTAGTCAGAATTCTCGAAACAGCAGTTACAGGACTTCAACAATGTAACTAAACAAGAGATTATGTCTGTCTACTGAATTAAAGAGAAGTATTAGCACAAAAAACAAAGCCACTTGCACAACTTACATTGAAAGATATTTTTTAATAAGGTAAACAAATAAAAATTAAGCTTCTTTTTTGTACATTTTGATACCCTTTAGATCATAAACACTTCATTATTTCATAAATAACAATTTCATATTTTTAATTTTATAATTTCTATGTGCCATCTTACTAGATTTAAACTGATAATCTAATATCCGGAAAAATCCAGAATCGCCGAAGTTCTGACGAGTCTGGATTTCGGACTTTGTACTGTATTTAGCAAATAAAGAAACTAGAAACTGGAAACCTGACCTAAATTAAAGACCTAAATAATGACAACTACTGAAAATAACCTAAATAATGACAACTACTGAAAATAACCTAAATAATGACAACTACTAAAAAAAGGAACCTAATAATGAAACTAAAAAAAATGAACATGACCTAAATAATGACAACTACTGAAAAAATGAACAACTGATAATGAATCGTGACTTAAGAGGAACATTCCCTTTTATGGAGGTGGGGTGAAACATACTCCATACACGTGCACGTGGGATATTATACACAATAGACAGAGAGAGACAGAGTAGTAGATCAAATGTCTGTAGCAATTAGAGCATGAGAATACACATACTTCAAAGTTTTACAAATTTTAGATCATTACATTTAGCATGAAATGATGAGCAAAAATGAACTAAAAAATGTATATAAAATGAATTTCTTTGATACTTGTATATCAAAATATATATTAAATATTTTATACAAAAAGAAAATACAGAGCATATAGAAAACATTTTTACATTTTTCAAACATCAGCTTCGGAGCAGCTTGATTTAAAACTTTACTGTTGTTCTAGTTCCCATTCTCTTCCCAGATTAAATGCTGCCATTACTTCCTTGATCAGCTACACAGTTTAGTTCTAAATTTGTTTTTTCATTATTAATCATAAGAAAGCTGTGAGTTTATTTAGAACTTACCATCCTGATGCAACAGAAAAGTATTTTTAGTACTAGTTATAATAAAAGTTCAAAATTCTAGACAATGCAATCTTGCTCAACTTAACACCATGAAGTGTTAGGGATACAAGCTTAATGAATTCTGCTAATACACTGCTCGACAATGAAAATGCAAGACCAAAAAGAAGTGGTCAGAAATATATGCAAATTTTAGAGTAGATGCACATCAATGAGTTATGCGAATGATGTGAAATGCGCAGCTCTCCAACGCAAAGAGTTGGAGTATAAGGGAGATATTAAGGGAAGGAATGTGCAGAATGGGCAATATTTGTATCGTTATTTCTACCAGACGAATTATCGAAGGAAGTTTGTTTTTGCCCCGAAGGATATGTGTAATAGAAGAGAATGCCAGGCCGCCGTCAATGAAGGCACTTCCAGCAGACAGACGATTTTACGAGGTTTATGGTAATCAGACTGAGAAGGGCGGGTTGGTCCTTATGTCAAATTGCAGCTGATACCCAAATGGATGCAAGCACGGTGCATCGGTGGCGAACATGGTTGAAACAAGGAAATGTGGGAAGAAGGAGGGGTGCAGGTGCAGCCAGAGTGACGTCAGCATGTGTGGATCGACGCATCCACCGACAAGCTGTGACGTTCCCGCAAGTCACCTGTACTGCTATCTGCAGCATGTGCAAGATACCCTGGATGTTCCCATGTCGACCAGAACCATTTCCCGTCGATTGGTTAAACGTGGCCTGCACTCACTGCGTCCGTTAAGAAGACTGCCATTGACTCCAGAGCATAGACGGCAACGTTTAGAATGGTGCCGGACTGGACCAATGTGGATGACAGAATGGCGAAACGTCATGTTCTCAGATGAGTCACACTTCTGTGTATCCAGTGACAGTCACCACATACGTGTGTGGCGTCGACGTGGAGACAGATCTAATCCGGCAGTAACTGTGGAATGCCCCACCGCGCGACAACGTGGCATAATGGTTTGGGGCGCTATTGCCTATGATTCCAGGTCACTATGACGGCCCAACGATACTTGGATAATGTACTGCAGCTGGTGGCAATCCACAACCTTCAGGTGTTGCCCAATGCAATTTTCAGCAGGATAACACCCAACAACACAGTGCTCGCATCTGCCAACATTCTCTGCAAGGTATACAGATACTTCCCTGGCCACCGTACTCTCCTGACCTGTCACCAATCGAACATGTGTGGGATGTGATTGGACGCCGTTTGCAGACTCTGCCCCTGCCTCATTCAGAAGACGAACTGTGGTAAATGGTTGAAAGGGAATGGAGAGCCATCCCTGAGGACACCATCCACACTCTTATTGACTCTATGCTTAGACTTGTTTCTTCGTGCATTGCTGTCTGCGGTGGTCCTATATCCTACTGAGCCGACGCTTTTCTCGCTCTGTATTCTGACTAATCATTTTGAAATAAAGATCACTTATTACTGCTTGCTGTCTCTGTCTTTTTTCCATATTTCATCACTTTCTGACTACTCCTTCTTGGTCTTGCATTTTTCAATGTCGAGCAGTGTATATTTGACAATAGTTATAAAAACAAAATCATCAGACTATGGTAGCTGGCTTCAATTAGATGTAGAAGAGGAAACCTGTCTTTTAGCTTTCACTGCAGCACATCCTCCCCACTTTCTAAACCAACAAGCAATGGAAGACATCTCTTACGAAGAACATTTCCCTTTACCATAATGTCATTTACAATGTATTTTTAATTCTAAACTTTAAAAAATTTTTGGCCTTATTAGCTGTTAATTTCACCTGCATCCGAGAGGCTGTGCAGATTTCAAGCATTGTTGGATTTTAGGTGGAAAGATTTCCTTTTCTACTATATATGCAAACAGTCACAGATATTATATAAATTTGATCAACTGCTTAAGCTGTAATTTTTTTTATACTTCTTTCTAAAAAATTAAATGAAGTTTAATGTTAAATAAAATGAAGTTTAATGACTTATAATATTACCTCCTGGAGTATCTGACTTGAATTTTCTCCTTGCAGTGTAACAATAGTTGGAAATGATTTATTTACAGCTACAGCCGCTTCAGAAGAACTCTAAAATAAGAATAATATAAAATATTTAACTCAGCATTTAACAGCATAAAATCGTGAACTTTTCTATAAAACAGTTTCTGAATTACTAATTGCATACTAACCAGAACCAAAATATGGCAGCATAAAAAAGTTTTAAACTATGCCAGACGCAGAAACTAGTTACAACCAGTTCAACTGGCAAAAACTATTAAAAATATTGCATCGATTAGTAACATTAATATTTCGAACGCATCTTCAAAATTTATGGGCACTTCAAACATGAAGAAATTAGAGCCAATTTAATCTAGTGCAGGCTGCTTTATAGATATGACCCCTATGCATACTGCTGAAGGGAAATAGAAAAGGGCTTTTTTTTCATTCTGTGCTCTTTTTCAAGTACTTTAGAATAAAATTTGTTATTTAGTGGTTGACTCTCATTTTATTAACATTTCATGCATAAAACTATTTTCTTACAAATGCATCCAATATATTTTCATTCTGTGTTATGGAGAAGCTAAATCACTTACATGTTGAATATTGGCACTTTTCAGAATACTTTTCTGTTCTGGCTTTCGTTCAGAATCCCGAGGTTCATTTTTCACTTCTAAAGGCTCTTCTGCTTTCTTATCAGAATCTAATTGATAATTCAAATAATTTATTTTTCAGTTCCACAAAACTGATAAAAAGTTTTAAAATTAATAAAAAGGACAACTTTTTTTTTAAATACAAACCATTATTTCTACAATTCTTTTCCTCGGATGTAGGAGAAGTTGCATCGTTTTCACTCTGATCAAATATTCCATGAGCAGTTCTTTTGTGCATGGCTAGAGTAGAAGTTTGTCTATAATTTTTTCCACAAAGATTACACATATAAGGCTTTGAGTGAGTATGTACAACATGGTGCTTATAAAGGCTAGAATATTCTGTAAACCTTTTGCTACAGCCAGAAACAGCACACACATAAGGCTTTTCACCTGTAAAGAATAAATGTTAAAGGCTTAAAATGAATGACTTGCTAAAAATGTTTCAGCACAAACACTATTTAATAAATTAACCCTCTGGCTGCTCATCCCGCGATTTCCACGGGCAACTCAAATGTAGCAAAATCTGCTCAAAATTGCATGTACTGCATAATTTGAAATCGCACAAAGCAATTCAAACTCATATATTGTAAAAAATTTATCCTGTAATTCAGAACAGGAAAGCACGAAAATTGAACCATACACAGAGGGTTAAGTTTGTAATTGTAAGGAACATTACAATTTCTTTACACTTAATAGCTAACAAATTTCTAGAATATTTCTTTTGGTAATATTTATAAAGTTTATAAGTAATACAACACTACAAATTTTTCCAATCGAAAATAATATATATATGAAGATATCTTGTTGGTTTAGATTTTAATACGATATAACAATAAATTAATCATAATTTATAAGTCAATGACATGCAATTACAATGACAAAATATAAAAACATATGAAAAGTATAATTTTATCAGCTTTCATGTTCCATATTCATTTCATATTCTGAATTTAAACCAAATTAGAGAACTGGCTACAATATTCCCATCTACCTTTTACTCCTTTGGTTAAAACTGAATGTAAAATAAGTTTCCAAAAAATTTTCAATCGAAAAATTGAATTTGTTTATGCAAAACTGATCAGTTATCAATGTTAAATAAAAGCATCACTATTACCAACTTTTCATTCGGTTTAAAGCAATAATAATGCAAGAAATAAATGACGATATGAAAAGATATTTAACAAACCTGTGTGTATTCTTATATGGTTCTTGTAATTTGTAGCACTAGCAAATGCTCTTCCACAACCTTCTTCTTTACACATATAAGGCCTTTCGCCAGTATGAGTCCTGATGTGAACCTTCCTGATGTTTGACGTTGTAAAAGCACGATCACATCCATTAAAGGGGCATTTAAATGGTCTTTCTCCTGGGTGGAAAAAACAATTTAATTAGGAAGAAAATCTTTAAAAGTTGAACTCTGAAAAACTCAAACTGAAGGGTTTGAAGAAAAAAGTTTCCAGTTAAAGAAAAAATTGACTTATTTAGAAAAAATTAACAGATTCAAAATTCTGCATTCCAACATTCAGTTTCACTTATCTATCATTGTGATTTATTGAAATTCGAAAGTATATTTTTCAAATAAGTTTCACATATATCACAAAGTTTAACCCTTTGAGGGGCGGTATATAAAATAATTTAAATTGTGGTAAAAATTTTGAATGAATTGTAACTTACAGACTCTTAGGAAACAAAATTGAGACTTCAAAAAAATCTAGAGTGAAATCCTGAATTTTGGTATACATATTTCATATCAGTGGCCCTCTATGACATTTTTTCCCAGGTAGCTGCCAATAGTTAATCCCCCCCCATCTATTTTTGCGAACTTTTGATGTGCATCTATAGAGATGGGTGCTTGAGTACAGTTATGCAAGTCTGAAGGCGAAAAAACTTTTTAAATTTTGCTAGAAATTTAAAATTAGAAAATAAAATTTATGTTTTTTGCACTTTGATGATGCCACCCAGCTGAATATACTTATGTCAAATATGGGTAAAAAGATTTTTAAAGTGATTTAAATTCAATATTATTATTTTATGAAAAATTTTAGCAAATTTGCATGCATTGCTGCATGCAGAAACCGTATCATGCCGTAACTGAGCTAGTATAATGTTACAAGGAGATGTTACTCAGGCAAAAAAATATTTTTAAAGAAATTCAAATGAAACACTACGACTCAGCTGAAAAATTATGTTGCATTTTTGAAGGTATTATATTTATGCTTTAGATAATATATAAAAAAGAGTATGCTTCATGCTATGATAGCAAGAATCACCCCCCCTACACACACTTTCGATTATCAGGCACGGTAAGGGGCCCTTTTTAATTTTTTGTAAATATAGGTTGTAATATATCATTTTGTTCAAGAAGAAAAGCTGTTAAATGATTTTATTATTTGATACACCCTATAGCTCTTATTTCAGTCAAAACTTAATAAACTCAAATATTTACCACTTTTTTTCCCTTCCAAAGATAAATGTTTTGCATCTAAAGCTGACCTTAGAAATATTTCCCTCAATTCACCAGCTGTGAAGACTAAACCACGTATCCTAATCCAAGGGGAAAATTTATACCTTCCAATTTTCTTGTTTTCTTTGCAATGTTATCTACAGTCATGTGTGCAGGCTAAGTTGCCCCTTTTTCAATTTCATCTTTTTCCCTTCTTCAGCTGCGACTTTGCCAGTATCTAGTGTCTAAATCACTAGTCACTCATTTCATATGATCTAGCCTGTTAATAGCAGCAAGTTTTTCTTCTACTGATAAAACCACAAATTTTCTTCTACCAGTCATTGCTCAACAAGAATTCATTAGAACACCCACACACAAAGTCCCTCAAGTTGCTATGTTGTCGCACAACTAGTTATGTACTCTGGTGCCAATATGAAAACTAACAACCAACTGATTATTCATTCAAACTGCAAGAATTGAGGCTGCCAAAATCAAATGTGGAAATGATATGGTTCTTATTTCGTGGTTTGAATGACTGCTACAGTCTACAGATTGATTTTCTTTTGAGTGAGGCTATTTTAATATGTTTTTTAATTTGTTACAAAAGGCTCATAAAATGGAACCTCAGTTAATCAAAACTTGGATAATTGAAGTTCTACTGCATGTTTCAATAAAATACAAATTTGAAACTACTGTACAATGCAACTGAATGTTCTTTCAAATAGAAAACCAAGCATTTTCTTCTGGTTTCCTTTATCACCTTCTAGAACAAAATTTTTTTGACCATACACCCAAAAGACGAAAAGAATTCTAAGTTGTATTCCATATAATATATATCATAATATTATATGATAAACATAATATAATATCCACTTTAAAGCTTAGTGCATTTATGATGTTAAGCTCCCCAGGGATTAGAGAAACCAGATATAGTTACCAATGATTAAACCTTATACTCAAGCATACAAGATCATATACTCACAAGTGATAGTGAGCCTACTTTTTCTGGCATATCACCAAGTATCACAATGTGCACTCTCTTGGGGTATGCATAACCTACTTTGGAGACCACTGCTCTAGAAAGTACTCCACGGAAAGCAATCCTTTAATTAAGCAGATAGCACATGTATGCTTTGCCGTACTCAAACTAATTAACCTTTAAACCTCTCCCTTTACAACCACTGTCTGGTTTTAGTAAAAATAAACTGAAATCAGAAGAATATGTATCTGAAATAAAATTAGCTTAAAAAAAAATAGGGAGCATTTTTTAAAATTACTTTTATATTTGTATACTTTGTTACCATGTTCTGTTTTGTAAGTATGAAACAGTATGTATGTAAGTATATTGAATATGTTACGTAAGTATGTTATTGCATACCTAATATAATTTAACAAATTAGTGATTACCAAAGAAACAAGTCATTATAACTTCATGACTTGCATTCAAAATGAAATTATTTTGACAATTAAACTACTGTAATTTAACTACTTCATAAATGCAAATTGCATTTATGAAGGCAAAGGGCTGCAAGTGGCTCACAAGCCACAGTTTAGATTGCTATATACTAAGCAAGGACAGATCTAAAAAGAATAATAGTAAATCATTATAGCATTCTTAATATATACAAAATGGATACAGTCAAAAGTCTTTAATCCGGACTTGTCGGGACTTCGGCGATTCCGGATTATAGATATTCAATTTAAATCTGGTAAGATGTCATGCAAAAATTATAAAATTAGAAATATGAAACTGTAATTTATGAAATAAAGAGCAATTATGATCTAAAGGGTACCAAAATTTACAAAAAAAAAAGCTTAATATTTATTTGTTTACTTTACTGGACATTTATTTCAACGTGCACATGCGTAAAGCATACATTACACATAGTCGAAATTAGAAAATTGCAACCAGAAAACTATTTGATGTGTATTCGTGATATTCATAATGAGGATAAATTTGATTTAAATCATATCAAAGACGGAGTACATCGAGATGAAATACTACGTTTAGTAAGGAATTATAAGCCAAATAATATAAAACATCTGCCCTGAAGATAAGGATAGTGCTGACAGATCAACTTCCAGTTCATTGCGTGCGGCGATGTCCCCCCTACCCCGACAGAACAGCATGAAATTGATAAACAAATTTCGGAATGCTTAGAGAAACAAAAGATATGCCTTTATACATTTTTTGCAGCAATTCCACTTTTTGTTTGATGGACATCGAAACATGCTTTCGCTTTGTAGATCCTTTGGCAGCTCCAGAATCGGAAATTCTTTTTGACATAATCGAAAGTTCAAGCTTACTTTTATAAAATTGCTCTACTAATCTGCAAAAAATAATAAGCCAGATCCAATTTGAAGATTAAGGAGCAACGCAATCTGCAACATTAACTGAAATAGATAATTAAATAATTTTAGCTTAGCTTATACCATCCTTTATACATTAAACACGCATGTGTAAAAGTATTATGCGTTTACGCATGTGCAGAAAGCTTGTAGCCTTGAGGTCGGATTATAGATCGTTCCGGATTATGGACGTCCAGATTAAAGACTTTTGACTGTATCTTGAAAATCATATAGACTGCAAAACTTCTCCTAATTTACTGTTCTCATTATGCCTCTTCACGACAGAAGATTAGACATACTTAAGAATAATTTGCAAATTAAATGTGATGTTAATTAGCCTTCATATACACAAAACATTTACTCAATAAAATTTATAAAATGGTTTAAAAATTACCAGTATGTGTTCTAACATGCTTTTGTAAATCACCAGAAGTTTTGAAAGCTTTCTGACAAGTATCCACTGGACATTTATAAGGAGTTTCCCCAGTATGAACTCGTGTGTGACTTTTTAATCCATAACCTGTTGCAAAAGCTTTACCACATCCCATAATAGTACATTTAAAAGGCCTATCACCAGTGTGAGACCTCTCATGGACCTGAAAGTATAATAATAATTCAATAATAAAATATATAGAATATGCAAGTTAGCCCAGAAATCAAAATATACTTGCAAGTAGACCAAAATTTGGAAGCTTTTATGGTTACTTCTGTATTATTCCATCAACCATAAAGCTGTTGTCAAACAGCGCAATTTAGCACCAATTATAGGCAAGCATGACATAACACATTCATAACATCAGCATTTTTGTTTACTGTAAACCCCAAATGATTCTGTATGAGCTAGCTTTTGTTTTTATGAATCAGGCTATACATTAACTATTACTGCTGTATTTTTCCTTGCATTTTGAAAAAAAGATATATATATATATATATATATATATAAATTTGGGACTTATTTTCTACAGATAAACCACAGATTATTCCTTTCATGATTCCCTTCATAAAATGAAGCATGAAATAATGAATGGAAATTATGGAAGCATCCAAAAGAAGTCTTTAATGGGCATAGTATTGCTGACTTGATATGGTTGGACATGGTATAGTTGATATGCATACAATACAGTAATAGGTTGGATCAATTATCTGCAGGAATTCTGTATTCATACCAGAACTTCCAGTAAAATCAGCAGGTCTAACAAAACTGCAGAAACTGATAACCTTTTTTCGAAAAGCAAAAATGAAGCGAGTTGAATACTAATTGTTTATTTAATAAAAAGGTGTCAATTCCTTCAGAATTCTGCAGAAACAACTGACACAATGCTGGTGGTATCTCTGCCAACTTCTATGGTTCAATAGTAGCCAACTTTCATGAATGCCAGAGTTATATGTACCTTTTATTGTTATAATATGAAGTAACATATACAAAAAGACTGATATGCTATTTAGGAAATTTTTTATTTCAATTTTAATTTAAATGCTTTTTAACAGGCACAATCAATAAAGAATTTGAAATCATTTTGTAATAATCAAAATAACTTATATTACACATGAGTTTTAAATTCTTTAATAAGATTGCAATTCTAATAATCAAGGATATAGGTAAGTAATTAAGATGCTTATAAAATTTTTCAAGTTTTAATATGTCATGTTTTACTTTTGTATTATATGTTTACCGACAAGCTCAGACCTCCAATATGCAACAGGAATTTTTTCTTAAATTTTCTTTTTAAATGCCATTTAACTTAGGTAATTGTACTTCATTAAATTAAAACTTCAGTTTTTAAGGTTTATAGCTAAATTACATTTATACATAAATATAAAAGTTATAGGTACCAGGAAGAAATCACTAAAGTAATTTATTAATACATGTTGCACTCCATCCCTCTAAAACTAAAATTTAGATTTGCATGAAACTAGACGATGACAATTTTTTTATGATTAATTAATTCTTATTCTTCTTCCATTGGTACAACAGCCCAAGCCAACATAAGACTCCTTAGAATGTTTTTCCATTCAGCCAGTTTTTCCATTGGTACTTTAATAACGCTTATGTCATTACTGATGCTATCTAACCACGAAAGTATGAGACTTCCTTTGAATCATTTTCTTATAGCTTTTAGTTAATAATTTTAAATATTAAAGAAAGGAATTCATTTGGCAAATGTTACTAACAACTTTCATATAGTTACCTTAAGATATTTGATAACAATACTTTATTTGTGTAATTAATTTAATTCATTATCGTGTTGCCACAGGCCATCAATGTTTAAAGCACCAACCATTTTTCTTAGAACTTTTCCTCTGAAAAATAACTAGATAACTTTCATGTACCTTTGTTGAAGTATGGGTTTCAGAGACTTAGGTAAGTATAGGCCTTATTATAGTCTTATTTAAAAGTAGTTCCATCTCCTTTTCAAGCACAGCAGAACCTCTGTTAACCAGGCCTTTATTTACAGAGGTCTGTGTTAATTGACTATCAGTTTAAAGAAGTCACTGGGAAAATGCAGTAATGCTGGAAAGGATGCTGCAAAAATTGGTAACATTCTTGGATTCCGTTGCCAACGATTGATCTTTCGCTTTCTCATCAATTATAGTTTTTTTAATGAACTTATTATTTTGCATTAGGTAAAAGATGTGGTTTATGTGTATTAAAAATGAATGCAACATTAAACTAACAATGAATTCATTTAGCTGTCTCAACGGATTAAAGAATGCAAAGATATCACTCAAGATGATGCTTCAGAATGGATAACTATAGAAAATCTAGAAAAAAGTTTTCAAGTTTTGAGTGATGTAGAAATCATTTGTGGAACAATAAAAACTGCAGTGATGAAAGCAATGCTGAGTATAACTACAAAACTGACAGTATGAAAATTAGCCATTCTGAGTCCTTGATTTCGTTTTATTTTAAATATGGCAAAGCAGATAATAGGAATTTGCCAGGGCAAGGATGCTTCATGAACAATACTTTAAAGGAAACTGGCTCATATTCATACCTTATATGCTGCCACCTGATTCACCAGGATTTGAACCTGCTTCCCACTACCAACAATCAGTGCTTTTACTGCTTGATCACTGGTAGTGAGAAACTTTAAGCAAAGCTTTTTGATACTTTGAGAAATGTCTAGATGCTTCTCTTATGGATATTTTGTTGATCAAAAACTGACCATTCAAAAATGGAAGCTAATACAGTTACAAGGACTGTCATAAAAAAAGGATAACCTTTTCCAAATTAAAATTCACATCTCATAAAAATGCCTGCAAGAAATTCGATAAAACTTTACTACTTGCACTAATTTTGATGGGGTTTATTTCAGTTTTTTCATGAATATTTATCTTGTGAAACAAAATTTTATATGCATTATTTGGTTGAGAGAAACAAATTTTATCTAGTAATAAAACAGTTTATCAAAATAATAATAATAACTGTAAACAAGAATTTTAAATAAACAATTCCAGAAAATCTTGCTCAAAAATAAATTGTTATGATCTAAAATAAGTCTCTATTAATCAACTTTACAATTACCTGAGGTGGCAACAATTCTAGGTATCTTGGATAATCAAAATTCTATTGCTCTTTTGAATGTAAAAAATTTTTAAACACACATACAAGACACACCAAAAAAAAAAAAAAAAGAAAGAAAAGAAAATTAATTTTGATTGGATTAAACCTAAATTTCACATCATAAAAGATAGCAAGAAAATTTTAAAAACATTATCAAGTATATACTAAATTCAGTTTATCAGTATCTAATAAATACTATAAATTATTACTAAGCTAAAATTGTGAAAGACAATTTAAAAAAAAAAATTACTCATGCAATTTTTACAAAACTTGGTGCTTTAGCAAAGGCATAATTTGAGGTGTAAAATCGAACTATAGGAAAGAAAAAAAAAAAAAAAAAAAAAAAAAAAAAAAAATCATGCCATTTCAAAAAAATTTAAGTTTTATATCAAAAAAAGTATTTTGCAGCAACGCTATATTCTAACATATATCCTAAATTCTGCTTTCGTAATGAAGAATACAAGTGCAATTTTGTTGATTGGTATATAAAATGCCTAATAATTCATAATATACGTAGCGTATTCGGAAACTAAGTACCGTTTCATTCTAGCGCCGTCGCAGCGCTGTGGTAGGCGTCCCACGCATGCGCACTAGTCTTTCTTGTTCACTGACTTTCAATTGTCACCATTTTGGTTGCTCTATGTTGTGTTTTCAGTTTGCTGTGCACATTCAAAATGTTTAAGACAATTAGTTCTCCCGCTGACTGTGAGATTCGTGCCGTGATTAAATTTTTGAACGCGAGGAATGTTAAACCGGCCGAAATTTATCATCAAGTGACAGAAGTTTACGGTGAATACGCGATAAGTGATGGAATGGTGAGAAAGTGGGTAAGATTGTTTAATGCAGGTCGAACAAATGTCCATGCCGAGGCTCGGAGTGGTCTGCCTTCTGTTGTCACCGATGATTTGGTACGTAAAGTTGATGAAGCAATGCATGAGAACAGACGCTTCACAATGACAACTCTTTCAGAGGCTTTCCCCGAATTTCACATACTGTTTTGTTCGAAATTGTTCCTGCACATGAAGTGCGAGCTTGATGGCAAGCGCTTTGGATCTGACGATGACACGAAAAATGCTGTGAAGTCGTGGTTATCGAAACTGGCGGGAAGTTTCTTTGAGGATGGTATACAAAAACTGGTCACCCACTATGACAAGTGTTTGATCATAGGTGGAAACTATGTTGAAAAATAGTAAGACATGTATTTTCATGTAAAAATAAAACTGGATTTGAAAAAATTGTTTTACTATTTTTTTTTTCCAAAACGGTACTTAGTTTTCGAATACGCCTCGTATATACATTCATAGAAATTAATTCTTACCCTTAAATGATGCAATGTAGTATACAGCCTATGACAATCTGCATATGGACAACGGAAGGCCTTTTCTAGTGTGCGTGTGGTGCTCACCTGACTAAAGTTGTCCTCCTAAAGCAATAAAAACAAAAGTCATATATTTACACCATTTCTGACTCCAGAAACAGTATACACAAGTACTGCATAATGTTACATTACAATAAACTTCTAATGTTTAATTATCACTATTAATAAATTATTCTTTTTTAGGCTTGTTCCAAATACTCATGTCATTGAAAACTGCATTTGTTCTATGCTCAGCGTCTTTTCATAATCCATTTCTTCTTTTAACTTGTTTTTGGTAGCTATCAACTAAAGCTTTAAAGAGAGAGAATTTCATGTAAAACTTTTGATAGTACATTTCAGTTAATGAGCTGACAGATGTAATAATGCACCAAAAATGCCAAATGTATATTTCACCTAAGTAGCTATGAAATGACATTATTATGAATCAGTGAGAAGAATTAACACTGTGAATTAGTGAGAATCCAGTAATTTTACCTTCAATATTTTCAGCTGCTTATAGTAAAAAAAAGGAAGAGACTATACTAGGTGGCTCAAATATAACTGGGACTGCTCTCTCTCTCTCTCTCTTTTTTTTTTTTTTTTTTTTTTTACCAAAACCCTTACTGAGAATAAAAGATGAACATATCCTCTGCAGTGTACTTCTGTGCAGAGTGACACATTTTTATCAACATTTTGGAAGCATTTTCAAGTCTTTTAAAGTTTTTCAGTTGGCTGTAAATTCTTTCTTGAACACAGATAGTGGCAACAACATACATGACTGCAAGTTAGGACTTAAGCCTGGGTCAAGGGGTTGAACTAGTGAACCCACATTTCATTGACGGCCATTACAGACTTCCAAAATGCATCCAAGAGCTTTGGTTGGCATTATGAGATTATGGCAACGCCTCGGTTATCTGCCTAAGGAAAGGATGCTTTCGTGGAGGACCTTTCTAAAGGAACTCTAGAAAAACGCCTATGCATCCAGCCCATTTGTGGTATTTGAACCTCGGACCAAACTACCAGTATTCAGTGACTTGACCACTTGGCTACGTGTGAGCTCAAATTATTAAAGGAGAGAACTAGTGTTTGCATGCACAGGACTTTGCTCTCATGGGTCAACGTGCATGTAATCCACTGGGCATACACCTTGTCAGAGTACAAACTTATTTTTCACAATGGTTTCTACACTACCAACACCAACTGAAAGCATCAATGCAAGTTCTCTGATAATGATCCACATATTCTCTCACATCAGTCTCATATCAGCACATCACATCTCACATCAGTGGAGACACATTCTTCCCCAGACTGTGCTTAAGAGTCTCTGTTACATTTCAGACAACTGAACTTTTTTCTCAAATGAGAGATCTGATTCCAGTATGTTGTTCCATGTTCTGAGGCAGTTGCTGTTCGCTCTCCACTCCCGCAACTGCAACTGCAAGACATGACAGAGCAAGTTCTCACTAATAGTAGATTGTAACACCAATAGCCCCACTCATATTTGAATCCCCTTGCAGATTGGAAATTCCCAAATGCTGAAGAATAGCAATTAAATTCTCAAAATACAGAATTTTCTTTAATACTCAAAAAGCGAGCTATCCCAGAAACCAAAAAATAAAACTGCATTTTTCTACTATTGAAGCACTGAAATGATGCTGCCATTCAAGAATATGCCATGAAAAGAAAGATTTACAAAACAGATGCTAGTTTAAAAGTTCCAACATTCTTCTCCTGATGGCTATTTGGTTTGTTTACATCTGGTGTGAAGAGCTCAGACTGATAGAATGCTGTCATCTGCAACCAGTAATCGATTACTGAACAATTATCGCATAGAAAAATTATGTGCATTCTTTTTGTGAACTTTTGTATTCACGGCTTTTTGGGAGGATGGGAGGGAGAAATTTATTTTGAATTCAATAAAAGTCATACTTTTCACAAAGCTGTATAGATTATTAAGGTTACTATTCCTATCTCTACCATAGATTATGTGCCAACATTTATGTTTAATACAAGAGGCCCTCTATCAACCAATTTTATAATGCATATATTTCTTGGCTTTCTTTCAATAAATATTGTAAAGTTTTTCAACCCTCCAAGTGTTATGCTTAAAATTCCACTAAGAAAGACTGCTTTCCAATTCATTACAATTGAAATATTCTGCCAGCTCCTGGTGGATTTGATTTCGGTTGGATGTATATTTGGAAGAAAAAGAATCAAAGTGCAAAGTGAGAGAGCCATTTTGGAAGTATAATCGGGAAAATACCACTTATTCATGCCATCTTTGGAAACCTTACAGTTTCAAAGCTAAATCCTTAATGCTTGAAGGGTTAATTTAATGCTTGAAGGGTTAATCACTTCAGAATCCCTGCAGAAAAAAACCAGCACCAGATCTATTTCTAACTGCATTCCAAATTTACTTAAAGAAATTGCACAATTCTTTCAGAATAGAATATATAGTTGGCTGATCTTTACAATATGGTAACTGGTAGTTTGGCGACATTTTGGAGGCGATAAAGGTTACTACCTGGGACTTTGGTAATAATGTGAGCAGTACTCAGTTCCGATTACGCATTATTTTGTGTGAGGGAAATGAGAGATCATGTGATATGTCATGTGATATTAATGGACGAATTACGGTTCTTTAATCGGAAAAGGGGGGGAAATCGGGAAAAAATCTGGAAATTTTGTATTTGCCTTTATTCTGTGTTGTGTGAAACAGTGTTCGTTAACTTTTGGATCCCATGGCCCTAACTAAAGTGAATTCGAAATGCGTATTTAGTGGGATTGAAAGGGGTAATAAGTGTTTCTTTAAGGTTGTGCGAGACAGAAGCAAAGATGTTTTATTAAGTTATTTATTTTACTTGGTACCTTGGTGTGAACTATAAGTATGATTTTAAAGATCCTGAAACAGAAATAAGAAAAGTTTATCAGACACGTAATCAAGATTCTGAAGAAGAATAGTATATAATAAAAATAATATTATAAAAATATACACATACATACATAAAAATAATATCCTCAAATAATTAAAAAAGTTAGTATTTTTAATTATTTGAGGATATTATTTTTATGCATTGTTCTAAATGTAAGGTGGAAGTAAAGTAATTTGCGTAAACGTGCATGGATATAATTTAAATATTTGACACTAAGTATTTGTAACCATTTGTAATGAAGTAAAGGTATGAATTAGTTAGTGACGTTTGTAATATAATAGATAATGTAGAGGTAAAAGTTTTTGGATATTTTATTTATTTTATACGGGGAAATGTTCATATTTGGAAAGGGTATGTACTTTTTCGCGATCAGGTAATTTTATATATGTTCTTTTTACCGGGTTTAAAGATTCAGAAAATTGTTATGCATTTTCGTGAAATTTTTCTAATTTATGAGAAAAAAGCAGTGTACATGGATATAGTGAAGAGTGTGCGCAATGCCATTTTTGTGCAATTCTGGGATGTTTTTTTAAGTAAAAATAAGTCGACGTGTACATGGTTTATGTGTATGCGTTATTTTGAAAAACGTGTAAGGAGTATGGTATTGTGCACCTTTTTCCCAATTTTGCAGTGAATATTTGTCATGATTAAGCAGTTTTGTTAGATAAAATTTCTAGCATAAGTGTAATTCGGCTAGTAGATTGTTGGAAGAAGTGTTCAGTAGATAAAAAGAAAAGAAACATGTCTTTACTTCGTGAAGACAAAATGGCGGCGGGAAAAAAAAAATAGAGGGTTGCTGTAGGAGAGTTGGAAGGCAAATTTTCGCCAAAAAAACGCCAAGTTACCATAATGTAAAGATCAACCATATAGTTTTACATTCTTGTTGGAAATTGTAAACTTTGTTTAAAATTCATTCATCTAAATAAAATTTATACATTAGCAAATGTTACGTGAGAAATAAACATGCTCCTATTTTGCCAAAAAAAAAAAGGGGGGGGGAAGGAAATGCAAATGATACGGAAAGTTTTTCTTTTTACTTCCTTGTACGAAGTAAAAAGGAAGTATTGTAATCGTGAAAAGTTTTAGGCAGCATATTTCAACGAAAATATCCCATTTTGACCTCTTTCAAATGCAATTTAACGATGTATTTCCGTGATATCTGTACGTAAGGACAGAATAAAACACTCTTTTCCTCCAAAAAAATTATAAAACTGCTTTAAAATGAATTCCGAAGATAATTTTTCGTGACGTCTGTACGAACGTATCTCGCATAACTCAAAAACAAGTAGCCTCAGAACGTTGAAATTTTGTATATCGGACTGCTATAACATGTAGATTTGCACCTCGTATTTTGGTTTCAATCGGCAGCGCCAAACATATATAAATATATCCACTCTGTTACCCGGCTCAGTGATCTCAGTTTCTTTACTCTTATATGTTTGTAAATTGTACATTTTTTTGCTCTAAAAATGATTGAATTATGTTGTTCATTTTCTGATTAAGGTCTTATGCCGAATATCTTCTGTTTAAGGGTTTTTATGCCTTTAGGCCTAAAATATTGCTGCCGTAAATGCAATATTTTAGAATTATCAACAATTTTAAAAGTTGTTTAAGTGCTGGCTAAGCCTAATTATTTTTTCCATGGCGGCCATCACTCTTGTTTAACATTTGAAACAGCTGAGTAGCGGATTTGTTGCCAATCTAGAGAAATTCAAGTTTCACAACAACAAAGATAACGCCTTCATTTATATGTAAATCATGCGAATTGAGTCATGCTTAATCCATTCTGGAATTTTTTCGAGGAAGCATTTAAGATTTAGTTCGTAATTTTTAATACAGATATTTTGAGTTTTTATGTATTTTTGCCTTGTCGCGAAGTGAAAACTGAATTAAATAAATGAGAAATACTCAATCGTCTGTGAAAAACTTTCTTTTTTTGTTTTGTTTGCTTAATTTCTTTTATACATAGTTCTAGCTTTACTATAGTAATTGAATAGAACATGTGGCAACAATTAGATAATTCTTTAAATGATATAAATTTTGTGCATTCTGAGTTATAATATGAACAAAATATAATACTGTTAAGTAAACCTAGCGCCAGAGTGTCGCTATGGTAAACAAAGTGAATTTTAAAGAATGCATTTATTCTATTGTGGTTTATGCACTGTCGGCGAAGTAGGTTTAATTCAATCTAATAAGTTTAAATGAAATGCAAGAAAAAATGCGTATAATTTAATATTCCGTACAAGGAAGTCATGTGGTTTACATATCAGATTTTTTATATTTATCAATTATATGAATCTTGACTATATGTAATTTGAATTCTGGTTAGTCAAAACTTTGAGTAAGTCAAATTAGATGCTGAAATATAAGAATTTGAAATTAATGTCATTTTTTCTGATAAAGTCAAACTTTAAGGTTGATGAAAAAATTCTTTTGCTGTTTCAGATTTAGCTTACTAAAGTTAAAACTCCATATGAAAATTAATAAATAAATAAATATATATATAAAATTACCTTTATACTCTGGCTTGGTAAAAATGTATTCTAAAAACTATAAAAAATTATTCTAAAAACTCTTTCACCTCATAAATTTTCGGTATTTTGCAATCTATTGTCTAAAATTCTATCTGCAGGCATTTTTTTAATGGAGAATAAACTTCTTTAGTAAAGCAGATAACATAACTTTGAAACTATGCAATTTTAAGTGTATTTTAGTTAATCTGCAAATTATTTCTAAGGTTTGATTTGAATATTGAAGCAACAAATTTATCTAAACAATACATAAAATATGTATTACTCTGAATTACAGAAATATTTTTTATTCAAATTTCTCAGCAATAAAACTGGGCTTAAAATCAAAGCAAATATTTTAACCCATTTCTGCTAATTTCCCCTTGTCAGAAATCTAGTATTTTATAATTAAAAGCAAAATGATTTTATAATGCATATATTTCAAGAGCTATTATAAAATCATTTTTATTTATTGTTTTTCCAATTTAAAAATCTTACTGGCCTTAAATTTGAGAGAGGTATTCTTTTAATTATTTTTTCCGATCTTAAAATCCAACAGCAGTTTAAATTCGATGTAAAACTGAATAGATATTTTTTAATTTAATCCAATATATTCATTAACACACTAAAGAACATGATAAATTTCATAGTTACCATTTTGATATCGAGCTCTTTTGCATCATTTTCCCCCACCTGAAATATAAAAACCAATCTCAAGCCAAAGATTCTTGTTCTAAAAACATATACAGAAGATATTTAAAAAAAGAAATAATTTCAGAAATAAAAACCTGCACAGTTGTTAGATGTTCCAAATCCAATCCAGATGCTTCACCGTTAAACAAATCAGCTCCAGTCTGGGATAAGTAAGCCATAGTACCATCCTCAAGCTGCACAGGCTGTAGTCCTTCTACAGGTAATGACAGCAAAATATTCATTTTCTCAACAACACTTCACAAACATATTGAGTAAAAACTTTACAGTGGATCATCCTTATCTAAAATTTATGTCTATGCGATTTTATGAATTTCCTTCTGTCTATCATTTGCTTGCATTACTTTAAAAAAATTAATACATCATAAAATGTGTATAAAGCATCTACCAATAGATGTAAAATTAACTGAGAGTCAGTTAAAAGAGAGAAAAAAATGAGTATTGAAACAATGGAAAATTAAGAATATGGTTTTAAGATTTTCATCAAAACTAATATATGTAATAAAAACAACCAAGAATGGAATTAACAATCTGTAATTTACTGAAACTGCAGAGACTGAATTTGTGATGACACAGGTCAAGTGAGCTAGTTCACTTATCTACACTTTTACAAAAAATCACCTGACCTCTAATATTGCAGGTTAAGCTTTGATTCTTCTGCTACTTTAGCTCAAAAATTTCTGATAACACAGCATACTAGCAGATATTCTTTAATATACTGACTGCAATACTGAAAAGAAAACGAACATGATGTGCAAACATACACGTAATTTCCAGGACTGCTCTAATAACATCAGAACAGATGATGTGAAAAACTTAACCTTTTATTATGTTTTGAAGTAATCTCCATCTGCCGTAATACACTTCTGTGCTCGGCTGTATAAGTTGTGGAAACAACTTTTAAAGTCTTCTTTTGGAAGGCTCTTCAATGCTGACATCACGTTCTTCTTGACATCCACAAAGCGTGTTCCTTTTTATCACAGTTTTGAGTTTGGGAAACAAAAAGAAGTCTTCTAGGGAGTATGGCGGATGATGCAGCACCATGAACTCATGCTTGGCCAAAAACCTCTTCACTGGCTATGCAATGTGAGGGCGGGCGTTGTCATGCAACAGAAACCAACTCCCATTCTGTCGAAAACGGGGACGTACTCTGTGAATTCTTTGTTGGAGTCGGACAACAACTTCTGCTTAAAACTGTCCTGTAACCATTAGTTCCTGGTGGGACAAATTCATGATGAATTGGTCCTTCACTAACAAAGAAAGCGATTAACATGACTTTGATTTTTGAAGTCGAATTTTTTTCTGTTTGGGGGAGCTGGGAAACCGCCATTCTGTGCTCTGTCTCTTGGTTTCAGGGTCATATTGATAGCACCATGATTCGTCACCCATCACTATTGAATCCAGGAAAGCAGGGTTAGCGTTGTTGATGAGTTCACCACATGTGTCTACTCTGACTTGCTTCTGATTGTCCAATAAACAGTGTGGGACAAATCTGGTACACACCTTGTGTTTCCCTAGGTCTTGCATCAGAATTTGGCAAACCACCTCTTTGTCGATGTTCAGTTCATGGCCAGCATTCGAATAGTCAGTCACCAATCCGCTGTTACAAGCTCGTGAACTTTCTCGATTGTTTCAGGTGTACGCACGGAAATCAGCCTTCCGGCACGGGCGTCATCTTCAACACTTTCACAGCCATCCCCAAAACGTCCATACCATTCAAATGTGTGGGAACAGGATAATGCTTGCTCACCATACACTTGCTTCAGCATTGCATGTGTTTCTGTCGCACTTTTGCCAAGTTTAAAGCAGAATTTGATGTTCAACCTTTGTTCCATTTCAGCACTTTCACAACAACACTTCACCAGATATGTTTCCACATTTCTTTCCCAGCCAAGCCCGTGTCTACAACTGACACGCATTGAGGGGAGCATGTGCAGATGTACTACTCTCCGGATACCAGCAGCACCTCTCTCAGGCGAGTGATCAGTTTCATTCTGTGATGTCAGTCCTAGATATTAATAGTCACACCTCTTATTTTTTTGACTTAAATTCAAAGCAAATATTTTAACCCATTTCTGACAATAGCAGGGTTTTATATGGCTTTTATGCAAACCTGTGCCATTCAAAGACCTTAACGTAGATTTCAAATCTAACACTGACAGAAGACTGATAGCATATTTGTTAGTTTCTTCACTTATTGTTCTAAAAAACTCATCATTCATATATAATATATGTAGCCTACTTATAAATGGAAATGTGATTTTGAGTTTTATTTGGTGGTTTATACGTTTTTCTATCGTTGTTCCATATATAATATACGTTGCCTACTTATAAATCGGAAATGTGATTTTGAGTTTTATTAGGTGGTTTATACGTTTTTCTATCGCTGTTCTGAAACGGAAGAAGATCCTTTCAACAAATTTATGGTGAAACTGCTTTGGTGATGTTCGAAATTAATATTTCTGCTGTTCGAAGAAGCTTTCGTTCATGGTAAGTGCATTTTATTTTATTGTTGTTCTAATTTTGTAGAATGTTATGTTCATTGCTTTTTAGCATGAATTTCTGTCGTTATTGTTGTTTTTTGAATTGTTTGTAATTAATATTAGTTTATTTTGTTGATTAGTGAGCAATGCCTAGATTGTGCAATTCGTAGATTTTTCTAAAGTTTAAACATGGTATGTGTGCATGGTATTGTTTGCAATTTATTGTTATGTTAATTTATTTAAGCAAGGTGTGCATAGTTCATAGATTCCTTCGTTGCATAGGTTGTGCAATTCTGTGATTTTTTTAAGTTAAAACATATTGCTGTGAACACGGATTCTTGTCAAATATTTTTGGTTAGAAACTTTATGTTTTTGCTATCTAAATTTTTTGTTTTTGCTTCAGATTTTTAGCTTAAATTGTGTGTTGAAAATGTGGATTTTGCAGACATTTTAGGCTTGAAGTTCGAAATGGAGACAAAAAATTTAGGTAGTAATATGGCACCGTGGAGTTTCATGCTGAGAAATTTGTTGCCAAGCGAGGGCGTATATGAGAGTAGTTCTGAATTAAATCAAGTTCACGTAAAAGAAGTTAATAATGAATGAAGTTCATAAACATGGTTAATTAATTTAAATAATTGATAAAAATTTAAATGTATGCATTTAAATAATTAAGAGAACTTCAATGTACGCACTACAGGAATTAAGTATTATTAAGAATTACCTCTAGGTGCAGCATGGATAAATGCTGTGCTTCCGTCTTCCAACTGAACCGCTTGGCCATCAATAAATTTTGTTGCAGCATCACTACTGTCTGATTCATCTACATGCTCAAAACTTTGAACAAATGCTGTTGTTCCATCTTCTAGCTGTATTGATGAAGATGCAGTATCTAAAGACTGTGAAATAATGTCACCAGATTCTAACAACATTCCTGCATCAGTCAAAGAAACATGGCAAATGTTTAATGGTGATGCTGATGCAATAGAAACAGTTACAGTAGAATTTGATATATCCTGCACAGCTTTGCCAACAACAGAAAAATCAACATGCTGCAACACTTCATCATTAGACTCGTCAGGTTTCTGCAAAATAAAAATAAATAAATCATCATACACATGCATACAGCATATGTCAATTAAACTGCTTATGAAATTTTACAGCAGGCTAGAAGAATAGATTATAAAACATGATAAAAGAAAGATTGATACTATATCAAAATCTACACTATGAAAAGTCACCTACTCATTGACAAAAAACAACTATCCTAATGGTTCATAGGCACTGTCAAATTTTTAGTTAACAAAAAGTGGTACTTGCATATTATCCCATTGACCATCAACAGCCAGCATCATTTAGTAACAATTACAGATAAGCGTATCATACACTCATAACATCTGCACTTTTGTTTGATTCTTGATAAACCACCTTTTGTTTTTATGAACAAAGATATAAATTGACTATTATTGCTGTATTTGTCTTGCATTCTTGAAAGAAATGACTGAAATCTGAGACCTGCTTTTAACAGAACAGCAAGCAGAGGATTATTTTCAAAGTTATGTGATTCTACCATCAAAAAATGTATTGATGGACACAATATGGTCAGCAGAATATGGATGATGAAACAAGAATAGATTGCAACAATTAACTGTGGGAAGAATGTACTCAAAATGTTCTAAACAAAGCTTCCGGTAAAATCAAAATGCCTAAAAAAATAGTAGAAATTAATTAACACCTTTCTACAAAGTGGAACAACAAAGCGGGTTTAATACCAATAAAAATGCATTTATTCCTGCAGAACTCTACATAAACGATAGCCTTAACTTTGATGGGATCTATGTCAACTACCATGGTTTGATGGTAGCCAACTTTCATGGTCGATGGGATAATACGAAAATACCTAAACAGAATTTTCTCAGAAAAAAGAAATTTTATGACAAAAAGATCTACAGGACCAATATTTATATTTTTGCAGCCAATGGACTGGTTTGCTTTCTTTGATCATGGTAAAGCACACTAGGGCTATCTGCCTAAAAGGTGGGATGCCTTCGTAGATAACTTTCTACGAAAACAGGCTCATATCTACAATACTCATTTGAAAAACCATGAAAATGCCCATGCAGTCAGCATGCTCGCATGGAATCAGAGCCATAGCTAGGGTTTTCAGCACCCAGGGACAACTGAAGATTTTGTGCCCCCTTCTGTGTACAAAGAATGGAAAACACTTTATTTTAAACTTTTGTAACAGCAATTTGACGGCCCCTGGGTGCTGCGCCCGGGAACAGACGTCTCTCCTTGCCCTACCCTAGCTATGCCACTGCCTGAAATCCAAACCAGGTCAAACTACCACAACTTTATCATTCGGTCGCTGGTAAGCAGCAACTGATGGAATGATGTTTAAATATAAAGCATGGTACACATGAGAATGGTTTATGTACAATTCCATGTATACTAAAAAACGTTGGCATTTTGCACTGGTTCACTATAAACGGCGTTTCACTTTTCAAATTTTTGCCACCAAATATTATCGCTGTGCATTACATTTAAATAAATTAAAAAATGAAGGACCTGCATGAATATATGCATGTTTCTTACAATGCAAAAAAACAACTGTACCTAGACGCATCAAATTTTGAATAATGCAGTCCTCCTCTCGAATATGGGCATATGGAAGACCCAAATTTGAACTTGTTTTATTATCTATTTCATACTTTATAAAACTTTAACAAATTTATTAAAAACTCAATGATTTCAAATTGAGCAATGGCTACACTGTACAAGGGAAAAAATATTTTTATCTCCAGCGAGTGATTATTCCGAGACTGTATATCAGAAATTCTAAAGATATGTTCATTTTACATTATTTTATGATATTGCTGTTGAATTGAAGTTTATGGTTTAAGTGCGAAGAACATGAAATTTAATATAATACATAAAATGTTAAAAAAGCCCCTTTCAGCATAATATAAAATCTGAAAGCCTTCAGATTTTTTTATAATTTAATTTTAATGTGATTTATAACACAACACTTCAAACACATACTAACATTATTTTATTTATTTTTTGATTTTGTTCACTTTGTTTATGGCAAACCACACAAGGAAGTATTTGTCTAAAGAAAAGAATGCCTCGGCAGAGGATTTTCAAGAAAATAATATTATAAAATAATATATTCAATGCCAGTATAAGATATTGGCCACAAAGACATTTTCTAAACTATACAATCTAATACTGGCCTTAAAAAGAATCAAGGAAAGAAAGTAACTTACCCTTAAAAGTAGACCAATAACTTCCTGAGCCTTTTTACTTTCTAGTTCATCATCCTTTGTTTCACAGCCAACTTCCGATGCAACTGTTCCATCCATATTTTCATGGCCCCTGAGAAATACATTCATAGATAAAATAGTAATCACAATGATAAATAAAAGAGACGATAACAAACACATATCTATAATAATAACATCAAAGTCAAAACATCTGTAAAAAAAGTAATAATGAAACAGTGAATAACATTAACACTACATTTAGTTTCGGCAAAGCAAATCCGCAAAGAATGTCTTTATTTTAAGGAAATTTATAGAACATTTTTAAGGAAAATTCATTTAAAAAAAAAGTTATTATTATATGTTTATATTACATAGATTATATTTCTCTATCTATGTGTTTATATTACATAGAGAAAAACTGCAAATACCTCATACAACCAGCTCATTCAACTGCCAGAAAAAAAATTAGAATAAAATTCCTCATAATTGACATCCAGGTAAATGGCAATATCAAAACAATGGAACTTTTGAAAATTAGAAATTTAGGTCTACAAGATTTTTACATTACATTGTCATGTAATGGTTAACAATCTGAATACATAAATATGGAAAACATTTGTTATGTTTCCGCCATCTAAATTAACAAGCCTTATCCAACCAATGAATCACCCAGAATATAAAGATAAAACTACCGATACTTTTTATGTGTTGATCTATGAACGTTAAAGTAGGGCCCACAATTTTCAGAAATAATTCACATTGAGAAATGCCATATTTGCTTTTACCTGGACAGAACATTATTTTATATAATTGTTGGTGAAAATTGTGGCCTATGATTATGCTTGTAGATGACAAGTCAGGTGATAAAGATTTATATAATTGTTGGTGAAAATTGTGGCCTATGATTATGCTCGTAGATGACAAGTCAGGTGATAAAGATTGTCTTGGTTTTAAGACATGTCCAGTACCTCTGTCTGGCATATTGGATTCAATTATATGTTTAGAGAAGATTGGCATTAGTGAAGAGAAGGTGCAGACTTGGATGGATATGGACAATTTTGCTCCTGTCTCTCTCCAATACAAAATTATTGGGCATGCACTTTGAAAATCTCAGGAAAAGACTGAAATAAAGATAACATGCAAAGCAGAAAAGTTAAACAGATAGAGGTTCATAAAGAACTGCAGCCTAAGTTTCCTGAGAAATGTTCATCTATGTCAGTACAGATATGAAGTTTCATTGTACATACAGCATTTTTTTTTAAATCTAAGGCAGATCTTCTAAATACATTCAATGTTATATACCCTCATACCAACATGTTACGAGTTTTAATTTTAAATAACCTGCATGATTTGCAATATTTATTTAATTGCAGATCAAAGATCAAAATATGACTCTCAGACTGTGCATGTTATAATTTCTACAGATGTCATCATATGTCAAGACTGTGTAAGTTCCAGAAATATATATGTGATTAATTTTCCAGAAAAATATCTGGTATGGAATTAGACAGGTCCCACTGTCGGTTAAAACGAATTCTACCATACTACTGCTTGAACCACTCAACTACTGATGTATAAACCTCTATCAGAAAAAGAAAGCATTAAGCCTTTGCTTTGAAATGCGCTTTCTAGAATACTTTTTTAAATAATTTTGTACAATAGATCATTCTTAATTTTAATTTAAGCTTTTGCTTTAAAAATATCACTCATTTTCACATAGCTCTTTGCTTGCAGCAGCATCAAATTTTGTTTCCAATACAGTTGCAGTTCAGTTACATTAGGCATGAAAATACTAATTCACACATGATTTTGAAACAGATATATTTGGTTACTGAAAGAAATGAGATAAACATCAAAATCCATCAATATTTACAATAAAATGTTTCAATCAGTTTTTTAAACCTAATTTATTGCTTATACATATCTGCTGCATGAAAATTCAATCAGCAAATTAGCTCAACATAATATACAACTAACTCATAACATTAAACTTTCTTTGTTAAATATAATGCACAAGATAATTTACTGAGAGAAATTTTAATACTAGATTAGAATGATAAATCTAGAAAAATACAATTTTGCTTATCATATTAGCAGTTTATAACTTTCTGAATTTAAAAATTATATTTTAGGTTTACTTCCAGCACTTATAAATACAATAGGTATTTGGTTCAAAGAAAGTCCTTCCCCCCACTAATGAATCACCATTAAATCATTCTATTTTTAATTTAAATATGTTCAATAAACTCAAGTTAAAAAAAAAAAAAAAAAAAAAGGCTTTAGGACGACATTTAAAATAAAACAAACACTTATTGCAGTGCATTTTTACGGATACTGATCAGAAATGCTGGTGATGATCAAATATAATATAATAACTTGCAACAATATGCAGAAAATAAAAAGATAAAAATTCACAATGAAACTAAAACTATAAATAATAATGCTTTTTAAGTCTTCTTAAAAAAAATGAGCAAGAACTTTCAATGTTATTTTCTACACACGACAGTGTCATTTCATAAAATACTGTGCTACTGTTAGATAAAAGAAAATCTAAATAAAAAAATAAAGATAACAGCATATTAAAATTAGCATGTACATTATGCATATTTTTCCATGTTAATTAGTACAAGCAGATATTTCTAGAAATACATATAATTGTTACGATTTGGAAAAGAAATTAAAGATAACTATCAAATTATCCGTCTTTTTTTTTTAAATTTTAACTCTGCACATTCATATTCTGATAATTTTAACATAATTTATATATTTATAAATAAGCTTATAACTTTAGTTAAAGAAATAGAATTTCTACATTAAATTCTAAAAGTAAAGCTACGATAATATATGCTTAACATTCAAACCGCATCTAATTCTCCAAGCTGCGAAAAATTTTCAGCGATGAAGTAATACATTTATACTAAATGCTGTACAGATACAAATAATAATATGGGGAACTAAGTCATGAACACAAAGTAAATGAAATAGTAATAAAAAAATAAAAGTTTATTCAGTATCTGAACTAACCGAAAAATACTGCCATTAACTCCAAAGTGTTTTTAATAACTGTCATAGAAAGTTCGTAGCAAAGATGATGTAATACTATAACAGGATATTAAAAGTGCATGTCTTATTTACATTCTAAATTTGAAAAAATTAATAGCAAAATTATTGAAATGAATAAATCCTTACAAGCCATGTGCATGAACGTTGCGCCAATTCGTTGACAGCAGCGTAAAAGCAGTGGTGTCAATTTACGCTTAAATTTATTTAGCTCACAAATACGACAGACATACCAAACAAGGAGATGTTTCACCACTTTTAATCCATTTATACTCTTAACATTAATGTTTGAAGCCATATTGTTTTAACATAAACTTCTATTAAAAAAGTTACACATTTAAAAGATTTTGCTCAGAAAATAAGAAAGAAGCATGTTATTTATAAAGCATATTTCACATCAAGATGGCGACTAATGACTGATATGAAGTATTTCTCCATCAGTAATTTTAAATATGAAACTAATCTACAAGTCTAATTTATATAAAATATATTTAAGGTAACAAAATAAATTTCTCGATCGCCTTCGACCATCCGATTATCCAATGAGCCCTTCGTTCGGCTACGTTGAAGCATCAAGAATGTTGGGAAAAATTTACAATGAACGCCGGGAACTCACCTGAGGACCACCATGCACAGCGAACAATGAGTTGAAACTTATCGATATTGAATGGTTTTGCTATCGAAATTTAATCGTTACACATCAATAAAAAAAATTAAACGTTTTGCAGTTCATGTTGATCTCGAAGAAGTAAAGTCAGTAATTTTACTAACCTACTCGAGGAATATGAATAAATTAAGACACAATTTTTACACAAGGAAATGCCCGACAAGTCGCGCAGAGATAGTTTTGTAATATTTAGCATTTCGACCAGTTGTGCAGAGATGTTTGTCAAAGATGTTTTAGCGGCAGATTTGGCATCAGAGGTTGCGGTACGTTTAATGTCTGCGCTTGAATTTAAAATTTATGTTATAAGCCAAGGATAAATCAAAAACATTTAAGAGCGAATTTGTTTTTCTAGTGTATCACATTTGTGGCGTTTCTCAACATGTTCTCAATTGTAATTGATATTCATCGTAATATCTTATCAGCTCAGTGTTGTGTCAAGTATACTGTTAAAAATTCAGTCTATAGAATGGAAATCGAAGTAAATTCTTATAGTTTACTTATTTCACTTTTTGACGATTCTTTATTATGCAAACAAATAAATATAGTTACCCCTTCGAACTTTTTTATTCCAATGACATTTAATTGCTTAGAGCAACAAAAAAATTCCACTGTTAAAGTAGAAACTGAAGATGGAGCAGTGTGTGTAAAGAGTAGCTTTAAATTGCAAGATATTTTACAAGACGATATTTCTAATAGCGATCTAGTTTTAGAAGCAGCGTTTCGTTTGCAAATTTCATCTGATGTTGTTCTTAAAGCTATCGCTTTGGATTCCGATCTAAGCCCAAGCATATTAGAATATTTCAAAAAGGAAGTTATACCGAATGTACCATATAACATTTTGTGTACTAACTGCAATACTGTTTTATCTTCTCAGCCTTTGACATTCAAAAGCATTGAAGAATTTCCTGGTGAATACTCAGAATTATCTGAAACCTGGTTTTGCCATAAGCATCCTGAAAATCATGGCACTGTCTTATCTAATGTTTTGTATATTTCTCAGATGTATTTTCATTTGCAGAATTCAACAGTAGATAGGTTATATTCCAAAAAGGATCATGAAGAATATAAATGTCTTAAATGTTCTTCAATTTGCACAGAACATGGAATTAAGAGTAATTCAGAATTTACGAAATTTTTTAATGATAAAATAAAATTTCATGCTGTAGCCTCATCAACACATTCAGTTGTTAACTACAGAAATGAAATTCCAACCTTTTCAATTGTAAAACATATTGAAAGTACTTTGAAATCATCATTCTCTTGCAAATTGTATCTTCAGAATAAAGTAAGTATTGATCTACATTTTCTTAAGATGTTGAATCTTTAGCTTTCTGCCCACCAGCGGATGAATGAGAAAGTCGTTGAACACTGGTAGTTCAGCCCGGGGTTCATATCCTGGCAAATGAGCTGTCCTCATGGCCGTTTTCCTGTTTTTTTCTCCATGTTTAATGCTTATACGAGTCAGTTTTCCCTTGACAGTCCTCCACAAAGGCATCTCTTTCCCTTAGGGAAATAACTTTTAGTGCAGGGGTTCCTAACACTATGCCTGCTGGCACCATGGCGCCCGCCGATCGTTTAATATGTGCATGTTGCTGTGTGATCACAGTAAAAATATTTTAGTTTTCAATAAAATTCTATGGGAGAGTTTTCCCATTTTTAATTAAATAGAAATTGCATCGAACACAGATATCAGCACAAAGCAAAATGTGACCAATCTCTTTTTTTTGTGTGTAAGAATTATTAACTCTACCCAACTATAAATTGACTTTAAAAAGTAAATGGTGCCACCGTTCTACAGGTATTCTAGAAAGTGCTCATAGGGATAAAAAGGTTGGGGACTACTTCTAGTACCTTGTTATGATCAAATAAACCAAACCTTAATTCTCATCCCCTAATTCCCTATGAAAAAAAAATTAAGAATTATTATTTTTTAATCAAAATAATTGAAATATGAATATTTCTAAATTTGAAAATGAGTGTGCAAGTTTAATTTTTTTATTAAGAAAAGTTTAGTAAGATTAGAAATTAGAATAGTTTTGGTAAGATTAGAAAAGTATTGGTACTCTCTAATTTTTCGCCCTCCCACCCAAGAAAGTCTCGATACAAACTTATTTACATTTTTGAAGAGTATTCACAGACTCGATAACTAAATTTTTATCAAGCTGATGTGTTCACATTACGCACTCTCTTTACTTTATCCATGTGCACATCGGTCAATTTTCACTTAGAAAGTCAAAGGAACACCCAATTCTACAGTAAAGCCAAAAAAATACATAATCTCAATAAACTACATTTTAAATCAAACAATAAAATAATATAAAAAAGGAAATTCATCTTATGCATCTAAGCACTATACAAAGCAATTATCCACTTACCTTATTTAGAAATTTCTGAGTCCTTCAGTCTGTGGTATACAAAATTTCTTAACAGCATCTAAAAACTTCCTAAAATTAGAACTAGAATCCATATATTGGCTTTGCCGCATAAATTCACAAAAATTAAGAGTAAAAAATATCCTCCATAGTGACGGTATTCTCCGACGTTCAACCATACGCATTTCCTTCCTACAAAACAGGACGTTATAATGACTACTAAGTAAACTTTCATTTACACACCAGTCAATTAATGCACTTTTTCCCTTTCGTTTCAATTCGTACAGAAACTTCAAATTAATCTTACTAGATTCATCATTCTACCGTCTAAACCACAAAACAAGCAATGTAATTCCTAACCAACGCACACCACATGCCCTTACAAATCTTTTTCCCGTGATTTATGACAATCCCACAACTGATTACATCATAATAGGGCTTCCGTAACATTCAACTACTCAAGTTACCATAAATGAAACAATAACATAAGGGGCACCCTTCAATGTACTGTAACCAAAAATTCCATACAGCAATCAGTTAATAAGAAAGAAAGGTGCTACTTTGGTAGACGGTTGCACGGATTTTTGGCAGTTTTCTTTTGGCGAGTAATACAACTTATGGTAAACCATTTGATAAGTATTTCTGGTAACGATACTGTTGTCATTTTATTTAAAAAATAGTGGTGTTTTTTATGCATAAATTCGTGGGTACTTTCCCGTTTCGCCGGCGCAGCGATAAAGACGCCAATATGGTACACCCGATGCCAACGAATATCCGCTGGTACCTTGACGCCTCATTCAAAGTTCAGTTTATGTCTAAGGCATTTTCGGCATTAAATCAATTAAGATGCAATCACAGGCTTACCCGAGCCGAAAATATAGAAAAAAGTAAGTCAGGGTTAATCATCAATTTAATGAGAGCATTAGCGAAGTAAGCACTGCAGTTTTACATAATTCTGAGTAAGCATCGTCGAATTGAAGTATTTTCTGCATTTAAACTTGTGTTCCAAATTAAGATTTACTGAAATTTGTAGATAATTACTGAGACATTATATTTTTGTAGAGTATATAACGTGAGATGAGATGGGCTTGGGTTACGTGATATGCCCAGCGAAAAGGATGTTAACCATGAAAGCAAGTAAATTTAATTAATGTCTTTTTATAATTTTTGTCTTTATTTTATTGGCTTTTATAAAAATTTTAAGCGATATTAAATTTATGCCTTCAAAAAAGAATTCTGAGGACTAAAATTTTTTAATATTTTTTGTGTGTATAATGATGATGTCGCCATAATCTGCTTGGCGAATTTGCGCCGGCGAAACGGAAAAGTACCATTCCGTGTTTTAATATTATTTGGCTTCTAATATAAAAATCAATTTAATTTCATTTTATTTGATAAAATTTTATGCTTATCATATTTTATGAAATTTATGTTGGATGTAATTTTCTAGGCGGATGTAATAAGCTCTTGGTTATAGATTTTGTACATAACGAGCTGTAATCAGCTCCTGATTGGTATGACAATTTGTGTGTTTCCGCGTCATTTTAAATTTAATTCATATCTTCGAATTCTTAAAGATGTTATTTAAATTACGATTCCGATTTTTTTGTAGTACTTACAATAAAACAACATGTTAATGACTCAAAAAATGTAAGTACATATTTTTTTTATTTTATAATTCTTACTTCAATTTTTGTTAAAAAAATTAACCACTATTTTCAAAAATGCTGAGATAATATTGTACATATGTTTTAATGTTAATTATATTCTATAAACGTATTTTAAAGTATTTGAATTTAATAATATTCTAATTCTTTTAAAATGTTGGTATGATGGTTTTTTATTCGATATTCAATTTCAGTAATATTTTAATCTAAATACTATTTATTTTAAACTAATTATATGAAAGTAATAATAACCTTACTATGAGTATTTTATACTCATATAATGATTACTATTTACACTTGCCTGCCATCTTAAAAAACGACATTTTCAAATTTTTTTTTTTTTTTAAAGTTTCGAATACTGCACTATGCGTAAAAACAGCGTTTTTCAAGATGGCTGACGTTTGTAAAAATTGCACCAACGTAAATCGCCAAAAATCCGTGCAACCATCTACCAAAGTAGTACCAATATTGGTAATAAAAAATACGTACCTTTTTCAAGGAGTCCTTTTTTTTTTTTTTTCACTGTTCCTTTCACCATGAAAACTGTAATCTGCTTTTACGAAAAAAAGTCATAGAACTGCCCAAACTCATTGTTGTGGATTAGCCAAAAAGGCATATGCTGTGCACATACCTAGATTGTCACACAGATACTTTTTGGAACTTCATGGTTTGCCACATAATTTTTTTGAAATACTGATTTGCCTTGTGAGTACTTTTTTATGACATTTTGGTGGAGTTGCAGATAATAAAAGGTACCAAAACATTTAACAGTGTCTCAGTAGCATTTTTTTTTTTTTTTTTTTTTTTTTTTTTAATAATGCAAATTTGAACAACTGGCCATAAGCAAATCTGTCAGTTACTACACTGTTATCTTAATATGGGCACTGCAAAGTCGTACTGTACCTTCCCTTATGATCTTAACATATGGTATAGAAGGGATTTTAGCAAATAAGAGAGTTTGACTATTAGTTGCCATAATTATGAGCTTCAAGGTCAACCTTGAAGTGCTTCTTCTAAAGTAGCAGATTATAGTGCCTGAATGTCATTTGTTTGTGAGGACTAAAGAACAGTTATTTGACATCTCAATACTACCGTCTTTTTCAGAAAATAAGACACTGTCTTACTTTCTTTTTGGGTCCAAAATTCGCGCTGGGGCTTATTTTCGGGGAAGGGCAAAAATAAAAGTATATTTATATAATTTTATTTAATATTTATTTTACACAGAATACAGAAATTTAAATTTATTCAATTACAGTCATGTTATCTTGTTCTGGAACATCGTCATAAATAAAATTCTGAATTATATTCTGATTTTCATCCAAATCCATTTCCTGTTGAATCATTGGTTCGAATCTCTCATGTCTTGCGATATAGCTATTGTTAAATGAATACTTCTTGTTTAAGTAGCCTGTTCGTAATGCATTGGAAACATCACTATCAGTTATTTTGTCCCATGAATTTTTTACCCATCAATCACCCCTTTTGATTTTCGACTCGTTCTGTGGGGGTTGGAAAAAGGTCGCTGCGTCGTATGTGTCTCGGGGGTTACGGTTCAGCCCAAATTTCACCCCGACGAGAGTCTGCCGATGCTAACGGATGGCGATGCCTTTCCTGTGAACGTATCTCTCTCGGGGCAAATGGCGAACTGGTTAAGATAAATTCCAAGAATTAATTTGAAACGAACTGTAGAGGTAAACAATTAATTTCTCAGAATATTTTGTTTCCAACATTTCTCTGAAATATGAGTATTAGGAAAGCTAAACATATTATTACTTAATAAATCAACAGCATTTTTTAAAGAATTCTTTTGTCACATTATTTTAACTAGGGATTATTTTCGGGAGATGTCTTATTTTATAAAAAGTTCCGAAAATCACGATAGAGCTTATTTTTGGAGGATGTCTTATTTTACAAAATGTTCCAAAAATCACAATAGGGCTTATTTTCAGAAAAAGTTGCTTCTTGCTAACAATCACTTTTTAGATTTCTTTCGGATTGACTATATTAGAACTAAGGCTGATGCCAGACTTTTTGCATCCCAGTGCAAACTCTTTGACTCCTAAATTTGAAATATATTGCTGTCTGGAGTACTAGCTCTGATCAGAGTTATTTAGGTTCTTGCATTGTTTAGTTGGTTTTGTTCATTAAATTAGTCATGCTTAAGTTTTGTGGTCTACTATAGTTGAAGAATATATCAGAAAAGTTGTGGAATCATTGGATGATAATCCTGCTGGAATTGAGCAGCT